GGTGTAGTGTCTCAGTGTAACCATTCTCAAATAGCCGAAGAAATATCGACGTCCTACACCGGCCAAAATCACCTCGATACATTTTCGCTTCATGACGTTTTTGTGGGCCTTTTTTGGGCCAAAACCTAGTTTGTCCTAGGTTGGCCCAGCAAGAAACCCTACCTATATATATGTTTTAGGCATTTGTCCTAGGTTGGCCCAGCAACAAACTAGGTTTTGCACCACAATTGTTTGATGAAATTCCTGAAAGAGCTGTATTAGAGGTTTTAGCATTTGCTGCATGATGATGTTTTGTTATTTGCTTGAATGATCTTTTAGAACTGTTTCTTAATGCTCATTGACTCATATTTCACAAATGATGATTTGGTTTGAAAATGGATTAGTGTAGAGGTTAATGCCTTCATGAGAGGATTAATCTAGATTAGAGTTCTAAATCACTTGAATTATGTCTCATCATTGTCATTAGCATTCCTGATTTAGCATCAAAGCACCCTAGCAAACTATCATGTCTAGAATCTCATGCTTCCATCATCTCATATTCATACCACTTGTCATTTGCTTGTTTAAGTTGATCATTAGCTTCTTAACCATCTCTTCGCTTGCGGCATTAGTACAACTTCCTCCATCTATGATCAGACTACAAACTTTTTCTTTAATGAAGCATCTCGTATGAAACAGGTTCTCTCGCTGGCAAGTCTCTTCAGGTTGACTCTGAACACTCAACGTCCTTCTGGCAACCAGCATCTCGCCCACGGCAGCAGCTTCTTCCTCTTCCTCTACTTCATATTCGGCCTCTGAATCCTCTTGAGGAACTATCTCTCCTCCCTCTTGAAACAAGAAAACCATCTTGTTTGGGCAATCTCGAGAGTAATGTCCCATTCCTTGACATTTGAAACACCTCACATTGCTGATAGAAGTACCACTTCTTGGTTTGAACTCAGCTTTAGCTTCTTCTTTAAGTTCAGTAGAGGGTGGTTTGATGTCTCTGGAGTAAGCTGGCTTGCTGATCTCCTTAGGCTTAGGCACACTAGGCGTGAATGTGGACTTGAAATTTCGCCTCTTGACTTGAGATTCTACCAATTCAGCCTTATGCACCATCTCTTGTATGTCTGCAAAATCCTGAAGTTCCACCTTGTCTTGAATTTCTCGGTTAAGTCCTCGAAGAAATCTCGACATTACCATCTCTTCTCCTTCTCGTAAATCTGCACGAATGAGAAAAGTTTCCAATTCCTGATAATAATCTCGAACAGATTTCGTACCTTGGACGAGGCGCCTAAGCTTGTTGAGTATTTCGCGCTGATGATGGGAGGGAACGAACCGCTTCCTCATCTGTATAACAAGCTGATCTCAAGTAGTAATCGGAAGTTTCCTAAGGCGATTTCTGGTGACTCCCAACTGCTCCCACCATAGAAGCGCATACCCATGAAATTCTGAAACTGCAATCTTCACCTTGTTGAGCTCGTAAGTTCCTTGGACCAGAAAATTAGACTCCATCTTCCTTTCCCAATCTAGATAAGCTTCGGGATCATTGGTTCCATGGAAAGGAGGATACTGGATTTTGATATGACGCAGCTGCTGACGTAGAGGATCATAATCTCGACCATGTCCTCGGCCTCGATCTTGTCTCACAGTTTCTCGGCTATGATCAGAAGCTTCGTCCTCCTCATAGTATTCTGGGTCTGATTCCAGGGTAACTCGATGCCCAGCAATATATTCCTCTCTGCGGTGCTGACGATCTACTCTTGGGCCATCTCGATCTGCACCAGTAGGGTTCCTCCTCGGATTAAACGTAGTTTCTCTGCCCCCAATTTGGCTTCGGCTGGACTTAGCTTTAGTCCTGCCTTCAGAAGGTGTTGGGTGGCGTGGGAGTTTCCGGGAAGATCCTATGTGCCCTTTACCCTTAGCTAAGCGCATTGCTTCCGACGGAGTGGGAGTTTGAGACGACTCTTCTCCACTTGCACTGAGATCTTTGAGCAGATCAGTCATCTTCGTCTCGAACTTGTCATTGAGTTGTTCGATTTATTGGGTGAGCTGAGTTGCTATGGCTTGATTCGCTTCTTTAATTTGTTGAGACATTGCTCGGTTCAGGGCTTCCATCGCCTCAGCCGAAAGCTCCATGGTACATGAAAATTTTTTTTAAAAAAACTCGCAGTAACTTGTTCTAGAAGGAATCACAAAAACAGCAAAACTAAACTCAGCATAAAAAAAATTATACGATTCCCACGAAATCTAAAAACAAACTTAACGACACTAATGAAATTTAATGAATTTTTTTTTTTTTTTTTTTTTTTAACCTAACGAACGAAAATACAAGATTCTTAAAGGCCTAAACGCAAACGACAAGTCGAAGACTCCTAACGAATGCGAAACACGAAGACTATCAAAACCCTAGACACGATACGAAGCAATGAAACTAAAACTAACAAAATTTCGGACACCACACGACACAATGAATAAGCTGCAAAGACCAGATCGATGCAACCTAACGACGATATCGAAGTGATGCAGCGAAACAAACTAAAACGAACACGATCTAACAAATAACAAAAGAACAAAAACGAATGATACAGAGATTAAAGGAAACAGATCGATGCACACAAACTATAGAATTCGCTAACCCTAATAACACAGAAACGAAAATTCAAAGTACAGAGATTAGGGTTAGAGTTTCGCTCAGCCTTTGGTTCAGAGTTGGCTCTGATACCACGTGATACGATCCTAGGTGATCAACTCTGAAGCAAAGAGGATTAGATGCAGCGATATGATGGTGGTGGTGACTCGATGATGATGGTCGAAACGATGAGAGACGATGGTGGCTGGCGGATCGAGTTGGAGACTCGATATGGTGGTGCGTGTGGCTCATCGCGAAGGAATCGATGATGGAGATGATGGAGAGATCGATTCGATGGGGTGGTGGTGGTAGTGGGATAATCGAATGGATGATGATGGAAGTATGATGAATGAATTCGATGGAATGGAGGGATAGAAGAATCTCTTGTAAACAGATTAGTTTAAGAGATTCGAATTTCAGAGTTTTTAGTTCTCAGAAATCAAAGAGAGAAGAACACGTTAAAAGTTTGATCAAAATTCTTCACTGAATATGACATAGGCGATTTTCTCCTTTTATAGACTAAGAGAGAAAATCGCAGCCCTAATAACAAAACTACATGGAGTTTGAAATAAAAACAACACGAAGTTTAATTTAAAAAAATAAAACAGCGAGGCGTCCCTTCTAATCCTAAGTGGTGCGCCTAAAACAACTAGTGCACAAGTAACTCGACGTAGCAATGATTTCTGCCTCGTTAAAAACCTTGGAGAAGAACCTCCTTGCCTTCCAAAATCTTCACCAAGGAAAAGAGTACAGAATCATCACCTAAGTTACCTAGTCATTGTTACTGGGTTCTTCATTCTTCAAGATAGAGATGTTGAAGATGTGAGCTCCAGCCTTCTGGTGATCGCTGTCCTCTGTGGCAATGAGTGCGTGAGCCTCCTTAGCCATCTCTCTAGCTCTGGAACGAGTGATCCTGCCAGCTACTTCTGGTTCCTCCTCCTCTGAGCTGGTCACGATCATATCATTATTCCCCTTCAGTCTGGTGACAAAGCACCAATGGGAGAAGAATCTCCCAAGAGGCTCTATTCAGACCTGGGAGCAATGCAAGCAGGCATTTCTGTCTAAGTTCTTCTCAACTTCAAGAACATCAAAGCTAAGAAACCAAATCTCCAGCTTCACTCAACATAGCAATGAGAGTTTTGGTGAAGCATATGAGAGATTCAGGAGCTACACCAACCAGTGCCCACATTATGGGTTTAGTGAAGCTTCTCTTCTCAGCACACTTTATAGAGGGGCTCTTCCCAAGATTAGGAACCAGCTGGATACTGCCTCCAATGGAAAATTTCTGGGAAAGGAGACTCATGCTGCTTTAGAGCTGGTTGAGAACTTAGCAATGAGCAATGATACATATGGAGAAGACTTTGATAGAGCCAATAGGAGTGAGAATTCAAGCAGGGATCAAAGGTATGAGAAGGACTTTAAAACACTTGAAAGCAAGCTGGACAAGGTGTTATTGGCCACTCAAAAGCCAATGCACTTTGTAGGAGAGTATGAGGAACCTTCTCAATGCTTTGAGAACATCAGTGAAGAGGGTCTTACTCAGGAAGAGCTAAACTATATTGGGAATCAGAGGTTCCAAAGGTATCAGTATGCCAATGCCAATCAGAACCTCTCTTACAGGAATCCCAATGTAGCAAACCCACAAGACCAAGTCTACCCTACTTCTCAAGCTTCACAAAATTTTGTTCCCAACTTTCAAGGGTCTTTTCAACCAAAGAATCAGTTTGTTCAGAATCAGGGTTAAAATCAGCATCAGCAACCACTTCAGAGTTCTGGTTTCAGTTCACAGCAGCAGCCAAAGGCACCACCAGGGTTTGATCCACCACAGTTCCAGCAGCAGGCGCCGGTTTTGCATCATTTTCAGGCAGCACCTGTTCACCAGCAGCCACAGATGGGGTCAGATATGGTTGGGATTCTACAACAGTTGCTTCAGGGTCAACAAGTCTTTGCAAGCCAGTATGCATCCATGCAGCAGGACATCAAGGAATTGAAGCAAAATCAAGCCTCTAGCTCAAGGAACCAAGGCTAACTACCTGGTAAGCCTGAACCAAACCCCAAAGAGTATGCTAAAGCCATTACATTGAGAAGTGGCAAAGAGCTACCAGCTGTAGAGTACAACAATGTGATCATTGAGGACAATGATCAAACTGAGGGCTAGGCAGCCTTAAAAGATGATCAAGTTGCTGAAAGATTAAGGAAAGAAAAGGGTAAAGAGGTGGAAAAGGAACCTGAACCAGAAAAGCTATATGTTCCACCACCTCCATACCAACCCAAGCTCCCATTTCCAGGGAGATTCAAGAAGCAGCTTGTAAACAAGGCAATAGCTGTATTTGAGAAGGCTCTCAATGAGACACCACTCACAATGCCTCTCATTAAAGCATTTCTAATGATGCCAAAGCTGGGTAAGTTCTTAAAAGATGCTATTCTGAACAGGACAAACGAACTTCAAGGTATGGTGGTATTGAGCCATAAGTGCAGTGCCATTATTCAGAGAAAGTCAATTCTAAGGAAGTTAGCTGATCCAGGGAGCTTTACACTCCCTTGTGCTATAGGTCCTCTGATGTTTGCTGGATGTCTCTGTGACTTGGGTGCATCAGTAAGCTTAATGCCCTTCTCCATTGCCAGAAAGCTGGGCTTTAGAACTTTTAAGCCAGCAAGAATCTCCCTTGTCCTTGCTGATAGATCTGTGAGGTTACCTATTGGAATGCTAGAGGATCTGCCAGTAAAGATAGGTGGTTTTGAAGTGCCTACAGACTTTGTGGTGCTAGAGATGGATGAGGAACCAGTTGACCCTCTTACTTTAGGCAGGCCTTTCTTGGCCACAGCAGGAGCAATTATTGACGTAAGAGGAGGCATAATTGAGCTTCAACTTGGTTCTGAAAGGCTGAAGTTTGATGTTAATGAAATGATGAAGAAGCCAACAATAGAAGGGCAAGTCTTCTATGTTGAGACCATGGATGAGCTTGCTGATGAGCTTTTAGAGGAGTTAAACACAGAAGATCATATTTAGATAGCTTTAACAAAAGAACATGGAGACCATGGCTATCTTGAGGATGAAACTTTGGAGCTCATGAAGCTTTTAGACTCTCACAAACCAGAAGGGAGCACCAGTTCTTACTTGAACTTGCACTATGAAGTTTCAGAGGCTAAAGAAAACCGGTTTAGAAGCTCAATTGTGTCAAGACCTTCCATTCATATCGACCAGGATTCACTCGGTGTTCAGCTCGGTGTGGGGGATGACAAAATGCCGAGGACATATCGACCAGCTACACCGAGGGAAATCAGGTCAGTGTCTCAAGATTCTATGCAAGGAGCTGAGTCTTTAAGCCACACCAAGGTCAATTCAGTCGGTGTGCAAGCTCGGTATGAGGAGGTCCAAAATCCCGAGAAAATATCGACCTCCCACACCGAGGGAAAGGAGGTCGGTGTGAACACGGCCGCTGGTTCAGAAATGAGGTTTCAAGAGATGAATGAGGTTGTTCAGAAGCAATGCAACAAGGCTAAAGGTGAAGCACAAGCAGAGAAGCCACGACAAGCCTCACTAGATGCATTTGACAAGGATTGGGATGAATCTAAGGCACCTCAACTTGATCTCAAACCCCTTCCCAAGGGGGTCAGGTATGCTTTCTTAGGTCTCAATGAGTCTTATCCTGTCATTATCATTGATATGCTGTTAGAGGACCAAGAGCATAGGTTGTTAGAAGAGTTGAGGAAACATAGGAGAGCCATTGGTTACTCTCTGGATGACATAAAGGGTATCTGACCCTCCCTATGCACTCATAGGATTCACTTAGAAGAAGTCATCCATAGAGCACCAAAGGCATCTCAATCCCAACTTAAAAGAGGTAATGAAGAAAGAGATTCTCAAACTCCTAGAGGCTGGGATAATTTATCCAATCTCAGACTCTAGATGGGTTTCACCAGTCCATGTGGTGCCCAAAAAGGGGGGAATGACAGTAATAAGAAATGAGAAGGATGAGCTGATTGCTACTGGGATCATAACTGGACACAGGATGTGTATAGATTATAGAAAGCTCAATGCAGCCTCTAGAAAAGACTATTTTCGTTTGCCTTTTATTGACCAAATGCTAGAGAGGCTTGCAAACCATCCCTTCTTTTGTTTTCTAGATGGTTACTCTGGATTCTTTCAAATCCCCATAGATCCAAGAGACCAAGAGAAGACCATATTCACCTGTCCTTATGGGACATTTGCTTATAGGCACATGCCATTTGGGCTGTGCAATGCTCCTGCTACTTTCCAGCGTTGCATGATGTCTATCTTTTCAGATCTGATTGAGGAGAAAGTAGAGGTCTTCATGGATGACTTCTCAGTCTATGGACACTCTTTCTCCTCTTGTTTCTCTAATCTTTCTCAGGTCCTGGATAGATGTGAGGAGCACAACTTGGTGTTAAATTGGGAGAAATGTCACTTCATGGTCCAAGAGGGAATATTGTTGGGGCACAAGGTCTCAGAAGCTGGAATAGAAGTGGACAGAGCAAAGGTGGAAGTGATGGTGAATCTGCAAGCTCCAGACTCAGTCAAAGGGATAAGAAGCTTCCTTGGGCATGCAGGGTTTTACAGAAGATTCATCAAAGACTTTTCAAGAATAGCTAGGCCTCTGACTAGGCTGTTGTGCAAAGAGGTTGAATTTGTCTTTGAAGCTGAGTGTGAGGAAGATTTCAAGAAGATCAAGGAGGCATTGATCAGTGCACCAATTGTCCAGGCCCTTGATTGGTCATTACCCTTTGAAGTTATGACTGATGCTTCAGACTATGCAGTTGGAGCTGTGCTTTGCCAGAGGAAGGACATAAAACTTCATGTGATCTACTATGCCAGTAGGACATTTGATTCAGCTCAAGAAAAGTATGCAACCACAGAAAAAGAAATGCTGGCAATAGTTTTTGCATTTGATAAGTTCAGAAGCTACCTGGTGGGATCAAAAGTCATTGTGTACACTGATCATGCAGCCCTCAGGTATCTAATGACCAAGAAGGATGCCAAGCCTAGACTCTTGAGATGGGTCCTCTTACTTCAAGAGTTTGATATGGAGGTACAAGACAAGAAGGGTATAGAGAATGGAGCTGCAGACCATCTCTCTAGGTTAAGAGTGGACTCTGAAGTCCCTCTTAATGACTCTCTCCCTGAGGAATCATTGATGGTGCTCAACTCTTACTTGAACTTTGAGGAAGTGGATAGCATCCAAGAGAGGAGAATGTCCTGGTTTGCTGATATTGTGAACTTTCTTGCATGTGGAGTGGAACCACCAGAACTTGATGCTTACCACCGAAAGAAATTCTTCAAAGATGTCCAAAGATACCATTGGGATGAACTTTACCTGTATGTCCTGAACAAAGATCAGCTGTATAGAAGGTGTCTTGCTGAAGAGGAGATGCAACCTGTGTTGCAAGAGTGCCATGGATCAGCTTTTGGGGGTCACATGGGAGCATTCAAGACAGTGGCCAAGGTTCTTCAGAGTGGGTTTTGGTGGCCTACTATGTTCAAGGATGCTCAGAGGGTTGTTTCAGCATGTGATGCCTGTCAGAGGCATGGGAACATTTCAAAGAGGAGTGAAATGACTCAAAATCCAATATTTGAGGTTGAAGTTTTTGATTGTTGGGGAGTGGACTTTATGGGGCCATTTATCTCATCTTATGGGAATCAGTACATATTAGTGGCTGTGGACTATGTGTCCAAATGGGTTGAGGCTATTGCTTCCCCTACCAATGATTCCAAGGTGGTGGTCAGGTTATTCAAGAACATAATCTTCCCAAGATTTGGAGTACCAAGGGTTGTTATTTCTGATGGAGGATCTCATTTTGTGAACAAAACCTTGGAGGGATTGCTGAGGAAGCATGGAGTGAAACATAAGGTAGCTACTCCTTATCATCCTCAAACTAGTGGTCAGGTTGAAGTGTCTAATAAAAAAATTAAAGCCATTCTTGAGAGGACTGTTAGCTCAACCAGAAAAGATTGGAGCAAAAGACTGGATGATGCATTGTGGGCTTATAGAACAGCCTTTAAGACTCCAATTGGGACATCTCCTTTCAATCTGCTATATGGGAAGAGCTGCCACCTTCCTGTTGAGCTGGAGTACAAGGCATTATGGGCTGTGAAGTTGCTGAACTTTGATATCAAAACAGCTCAAGAGAAAAGAATAATTCAACTCCATGAACTTGAAGAGATCAGGTTGGGCGCTTTTGAGAGCTCCAAGATCTATAAAGAAAAGACCAAAACTCTACATGATCAAAATATTTTGAAAAGGGAGTTCAAGGAAGGTGATTTGGTGTTGCTGTTCAACTCTAGGCTTTAGTTATTTCCTGGACAACTTAAGTCTAGATGGTCTGGTCCCTTTAAGATTCTTGAAGTTAGGCCATATGGAGCTGTTGTGTTAGAAGGTAAAGATGGTCAAGACTTTGTGGTCAATGGCCAAAGGATCAAGCACTACCTAGTCTCACAAAAGAAGGAGGAAGCTACATCAGTTCCCCTTCTTGATCCACCATCAGCATAAACTTGGTATCAAAGTCAAACTTAGAGACTTTAAAAAAAGTGCTCTTGGGAGACACCCCAAGCTTATCCTTGTATATATTTTCTTTTCTTGCCTTCTTTGATTGTTTTTAGGATGTTTTAATCTTTTTTTCAAGTGTATACAGGTTTTAGAAAGGTCCAGGTGCAGTTTTGAAAGGATTAGAGAAGAGAAAAGATGAAAAATGGGCTGAGGAATGCATTCATATCGACATGGTTTTCCTTGGTGTGTTTGCTCGGTGTGACAGGTTCAAAAGGCCGAGAAAATAGTGGAGTGGTGTGAGTAGTCATAAACTCAGAGGAGATCAGTTTTTACAGTTGTGAAGTCAGGTTGGTTTGTATCCGGCTTAGTTGAAAAGATTAACAGATTAAGAAAGAACCCAGCAATCCTTTTCTATATGTCTGGGAAAAGATTTATGAAAACTTAAATTCAACATATTATACCAGTTACACCGAGCAAGTAGAGGTCGGTGTGGAACACAAAATGGCAAAGGATGCCTCACACCAAGGTGATTTCACTTGGTGCATTTGCTTGGTGTAAACAGGTTTAAAAGCCGATAAAATATCAACCTGTACACCGAGCAAAATGAGGTCGGTGTAGTGCTGGAAGGAGCCGAGTCTTGTCTCACACCGAGGTGATTCTGCCTGGTGCAAGAACTCGGTGTATAAAGGGAAGAAACTTGAGAGCACACCGACCTCCCACACCGAGCAAAATCAAGTCGGTATGACCCTGGTGCAGTCTATTGTCCAGCAGTCCGAAGGGCGGTTCAGTCAAAGTCAAAAATTCCAGCCACTTCCAGCTGTTTCCCACGACAGAAAAGAGAACCTCCAGCCCTGGTCCACACACAGAAATTCGGTTTTCTCTTTCTTTCCTCCACTTTTGCGAAGAAACACCATTGTTGCTCTAAAAAAGCTTGATTTCTTGCTTGTTAATCGATTTTCCTGGAGATTTCTTGCCCGTTTCGATTTCTTGCACCAGTTAACCCAGCTCCAAGGTACATTTTGCTTAAATTGCTTCTTAGGTTCAAAAACCCTAAATCGCTATTCTCTTGATTTTTCTTGAAGAAATTTTTGTGGAACTGAGAATGCACTGCTTGAAACTGAGTTAGAACCTTGGAGTTTAGGTCGTGGGTATCTAGAAACGAGCTCACTTGTGCCCAATTGTTTCTTGAATCCTGATTTTAGACTCTCTTTAGAACTTGTTGTTCTTGAGCTGAAATTTGGATTTTAGAAAATTATTTTGAAGTGAAAATCTCTTGGTGCTGCTTGGGAATGTTTAATGTGATTTTGCTTGAATTGTTTCCATTGATTTCATTCCAAGCAAAAATCATTTTGGAAATTTCAAGGATTTATTTCTCTAGAAACTCATTGTTTGTTTGAGAAATTGTTGAAACAGGTACCATGGCAAGAGGAAACCCTGTTTTGATGCCCAATGTACCAAGGAGAGACAATGGCAAGGCAGTTGCTTCTGGTTCAGGGGAAAGACC